AAAAAAGGAAATGATCATCAATCATCATACTCCTCAAAGCCCAAAAGCAAGCGTAGCATGATGGCCTCACTAACTTGCACTCACTGTATAAATCAGCAGCAACTACTGACTACTTTCAGTTATGGTTAATTCTGTACAGGTAATTAATGACCTTTAGGCTGTAATTTCATATGTAAAGAAAATGAATAAATAAAAAGAACAAAAGTTTGTACTCCATTACTCGTTATACTAAACCTCTAAGGGAGCATCCACGATCCATTACCCCCTCCAAAGTCCCATCAACCTACCACTCCTTTTCCTTCCAAAAAAAAAAAAAAAACCCACCACTCTTTTTGTTTCTTTTTCAATAGGAAGAACAAAGAGCTTCAACTCAAATTGATCATGCAGTAGCAAGTTAAATTAGGTTATTATGGAAATAGAAAATAAAATGTAGTCCAATAGTTAAACCCTATACACAAGTGGACTATTTGAATTGGACTCCCAATGTTCCACTTAATTATTCTCTAATAATCCAATTCATGTATCAGGAAGAAAAATAATCAAGTGGTCAAGCATCAACAACCATTTGCTTCCTTTCGGTAAAAAATGCACCGACTACCATTGATGATGCATGAACATTAAGTGCTTGCATCCGTTTCTTTTTCTTTTTTCCTTTTTTTTTTTTGGCCTTTTTGGATGGTGGTCTCTAGCCTCAGTACTTCTTGGAGATCGAGCCACAAAAGAGGGAGGGAGGGAAGAAGAAAAGCAAAGCAAAGAAAAGAAAGAAAGCAACACATCATAGCAGAAACCCTACAGGCACCTATATTGGCGAACAACTTGTACAGCTATATGCTATAATTCATAATTTCTATTACCATGTATAACTCTGGTAAAAATGCAGCAAGCTGCCTCATGTTTCTAACTGTTGTGTTTGAATCAGAATTGCATACTTTACTACAACTGCTGCTGCTGCTACTACAGCAAACACATAAATACATCTTTAATTAATGGCTCAAAAGGGGAGCAAGAAAGGGCAGGACAAATCTCTCCTGCTGCAGTTTCGCCCTCCCTAGTTACCATCTCCATCTGTACTCTACTCTGTCTTTGCTCTAATTGGTGCAATTGGACGGCAGTTCTTAATACTAGTAAACCCAAGCATGCATATTATAAACCAAAGGGGTTGACAGTAAAAGAAACCATTGATTTAGGAAGGTGGTGAATCCTTTCCACTGTGTTGAATCTCGGAAAGTATTAAAGAATCCCCCGAAGAAAAAACAAGGTAGTAAAAAGGAAGGAATGATATTGAGGTTCAATTTAATCTTCTTTGGACTTGTGGGCTGTGGCAGCACTGGTAGCAGAGTCTACGCTTTGAAAGCAATAACTAGCAGAGTGGCATAGGTACCATAAGGCATGCTGCGGTGCAACTTTTGGCTGCTTTTTGTTTGAGACTATTCTGCGCTTTTGGTAAAGAGCAGAAGAGATCTATCCGCTACTCGTACACGAGAAGATCATTCCATGATCCACGATCCTTCCAGCAAAAAACGTATAAAGCGCATTGAAGATTTAACAAAAGCAGGTAGTTCTTGGTAATTCTTAAAAGAAGACGGGAATTTTAGAGCTCGAGTATTCATGTAATCATAAATTAATTATGCAAAAAGTGATGGTAACATTTCGGGATATGCAAACAAGAAATAAATAATGAAGTAATTAGCAGGCGGCTTAGTGATATTGATGCAGCTGCGTGATTCATGCCAGTCTTGGCTCGTACCACAATCAGCCAGAAAAGAAAAGTGAGACATCTGCGAATTTTGCGATTTATAAATGTATGATGGAAAGGTTTTATCTGTAACGGCATATACTTAGTGCAATTTGGTGGCCCTTTTTTCTTCCCCCTTTTTTCCTTGTTCTTTTCCCTCCCTGAAAATTTCATGCATGAGAGGCTTTATTGTTTGTGAATTAATGATCATTAATTATGGACTGGCACACTACTTATAATGCATGTAACCATCAGATGCTCATGGAATTAACATATTATTAAAACATTCATACTGAGTTGGAGGCAGAGACGACTCTTTTCTTATTAATTATTGGCCTCTACCCTTGGTATAGTATACTGCACGTTGGCTAGTTTGCATATTAATCTATTAAGCATGGCAAAATGTCATTTAGTTACTTAACATAGTCTGAATTTTTTGCTTTTCTTACCGAAGGAAATTTTGTTTTTTTCGTAAAAAAAGGGACCTATGGGATATTGATATTCCTCTATGTTGGAAATTTGATGGGGAAGAACCTACTTTAAGTTTAACGCCAAGCTCATACAAGTAGAAAATGAACAATTTGTTAATGCTCCAAAGTCTAGAGTATGACATAATGATCTAACTTCATGCATTTTATCAAATAATTTACAGTGCCATAATTGGCTTAACATTTCACAAAAGAAATTATATATTGCTTGGACCATAGCAGGATTTTAGCAAATGCGTCAGAAGTCATTTGCGCTATCATTTTTTAACTTTCCTCTTGTGTGCCTAATCAAGCTGGATTTTCTTTTTTGTTTCCTCAATTAATGTGTGTGTTTGGACGGTAGATTATTTGAAATAATTTTTTAATACTGTACTGCAACACTTTTTAATATGATGTGTGTGAGATAAAAAATGATGAAAAATGCGTTGATAATACAAATAAATAAAAATTAACAAATAAACTACAATTTGAACAAACCCATATAATTGTATAATTGTACATTTTTCCTTAGAGGACACTCTTTGCTCTATTAGATTTTTTACATGTTTTTCTTCACTCCTCGCAATTCCTCTAGAATAGATAAATTAATTATTATTTATAATTGAATATCATATTATACACATGTGGCGTACATCCAATTTATGCTCTTTTATATGTATATATATATGCATATTATATAGCGTGAGTGTGTGGAAAATTTATCCCTTATTAATTCCGCTGTACTGAAAACTTCTGTTGTCTGTGGAAACGATAAGATGCAGTTTTACATTTTTTGTTCCATCTTAAATTGGGGACCCTGTATTGGTAACCTTCCAATGTTGTCCTACAAAATCTTGATTATTAACTGGACCCACCAAAACCCATCAACGGCCGTACGTTGCATCACATGTCGCTAAGTCGCCTGATTGGATCTCCCCAAAAAGAAATATCATCTGATTGGAAGGTGCAACATTGTATAATCCCATCCTATTTCACCTTAACACAGCTCTTACCCAATAACTGGGTATCTTTGGTAACTGGGCCCACTAATCCTTGTTACACGCTCAAGTGTCACGTGTCCAGTTATTAGTCTGCATGAGCGATACGGTTCAGCTCTGATTCACTCAACAAATGAACACAAAAATAAGAAAATCCACCCAAAAAGATTTGTAAGCACTAATTAGCTCCTAGTCAATCCTATCTACGTTGACTGTGTGTATGTGGAATCTAAATACATGCTATATGTGCCATATTTGGAATCCAAATGTAAAATGATATGCCTCGCCTCAAATCCGCAAATTCATAGAATGTTAGTATGCCAAAAGTTAATTTATAGCACAAGTTAGATTGGCAAAAAAAATGAATTGTGGTTGAGTGCATGGTTAGTAAAATATAAAACGGGTGTAAGACAAGGTAATATATGTATGCATGGTATATGATTTTTTTTAAAGGGCGCTGAAAAGTTTAGTATAAAAATGTGTGTTCAACAAAACTAGGTATAAAAATTCATACGTAAATAGTATGAACATATTTGAGAATTACAAAACTAAAAATACTGATAAATTACTATAGTTTTCAAAAACTATACTACTTTTATAGCAATTTCAAATTTATTTTATATATGAGATGTTATATTTATTAAAATTTTAGCACCTAATTACTTAAATATGTATATGTACACCTTATATATATATATCTAGATTTTATTATGATGTATAATCACTCTTATTTGTATGTAACTCAAAAAGTATGTCATTATTCTTGCTCAAATTTTAATTTTTTTAAAAAAATGAAATATAAGCCATGAAGTATAATACTTTAAAAATTTATTTACATATCTTATATGGTTAGTTGAACAGTACAAGGGTCTTTCAGACTATTTTTAAAATGTATGAAATACAATTTTTTTTTTTAAATGTTACTCCCTCCCTCCCAATTTGATAGTCCTGTTTTCCTTTTTCGTCTGTCCCAAATTGTAGTCCACTTTCCAATTGAAGAATGTAGTTGTCTTTTCATTTTTTCTAAAATACCCTTATTCAATGTAAGTTATTATTACTATAAACTACCTTGTTTAATGTAGATTATTAGTATTGAATATAACCTACCCATTTAATGCATTTAGATTTTCCAAAATATATTGATATATGAAAAGTCAACTGTATTTTAGGAAAATAGCAATCTAAATTTATTTTTCCAACAAAATTAACTACTCCCTCCGTCCTACTTTGATAGTCCTGTTTTATTTTTTTGTCTGTCCCAAATTATAGTTCAGTTTCTAATTAAAGAATGTAGTTGTATTTTAATTTTTTTAAAATACCCTTATTCAATGTAAGTTATTGTTACTATAAACTTACCCCATTTAATGAGTGTTGATTCTTGTTTTACCATCAATTCAAGTTCTCATAAAGTCGTATTCTAATTAATATGAGGGTATTTTAGGAAAATAGCTACCTAAATTGATTGTTCCAACAAAGTTAACTATTTTTTCTTAAACTGTGTGAAAAAAATCAGGACTATTAAAGTGGGACAGAGAGAATACTTTTTCTTAAACCGTGTAAAAAAAAATTAGGACTATCAAAAGTCAAAACTAAAACTATCAAACTGGAGTATGTATTAATAACGCGAATGTTTACTAACTAATCTCGAGTGTGCGCGCCCCAACATACAGTCGACATGGTATGATGGTAAATCTGCCTTGACCAAGGATTCCCCAATCATCCAAAAATTTAAGGAAAATTAGGAAAGTCCCTACGAACTAACTCAAAAAGCAAAGCCAAAAAGCCAAATAAAAACACAACTGTAAGCCATTGTTCACTCCCCTCCATTTGCTCTCCACAGTCTCCTCCTCCTTGAGTCTGAAACAGCTGAGTGAGAGAGAGAGAGAGAGAGAGAGAGAGAGAGAGAGGTGAGAGAGGGAGATGGCTCCAGCCATTTCTCTAGGCTTATCTCTCTTTATCTTCAAAGTCTGACCTTGACATAGAATGAATGAAAATCTGAATCTGACCATTACCACAGCGCTTCTCCAAAAGAAGATGGCTCATCAGCATCAAAATGAAAAACAGAAGTTTCCATTTTTATTAGATGCTTTGTACTGTGAAGAAGAGCACTGGGAAGGACTCGATAAAGAGGACTGTTTCATCAGTAATGAAGAAGAGAGCCGTATTGACGGTAAACCTCCATTGTTAATGGAGCAAGACTTGTTCTGGGGAGAGGAAGAGTTATGCTCTTTGTTCAACAAAGAACAAGAAAATGACTTGTACAATAGTCTCAAGACAAATCCGTCTCTGGCTGGGGCTAGAACCGACGCAGTTGAATGGATGCTAAAGGTCACTGCTTTTTACTCTTTCTCTGCTCCTACTGCAGTTCTTGCAGTCAACTATTTGGATCGGTTTCTCTTCAGCTTCCAATCCCACAATGAGAAGAAGCTTTGGATGACTCAACTTGCTGCTGTGGCTTGTCTTTCTCTTGCTGCCAAAGTTGAGGAGACTCAAGTGCCCCTCCTTTTGGATTTCCAAGTATGATGGGTACTTAGGAGTATATTAAAAATTGAATCTTTTGTGTACACGTCTGTTTTGTTATCTGTGGAGAGGTAATTAATCTTCGGATTGCTTTGCTTTGATTTGTTTAGGTGGAAGAATCTAAATATGTATTTGAGGCAAAGACAATACAGAGAATGGAGATCCTGGTTCTGTCCACTCTTGAGTGGAAAATGAACCCTGTGACCCCACTTTCATTTCTTGATTTTGTGACAAGAAGACTAGGATTAAAGAACCACATTTATTGGGAATTCCTTAAAAGATGCGAGTTCCTTCTTCTCTTTATCATTTCCGGTAAGCATTTGATGAATCTAAGTACTTCTATATCAGTTAAAATTGATATCTTTAATTATCCTTCTCCTATTCGGCAGCTTAATTATTTCCAATTGTAGATTGCAGATTTATGTCCTATCTTCCTTCTGTGATGGCCACTGCCACAATGCTGCATGTTATCGTCAGCGTAGAGCCCTGTCTTGGAGTAGAATACCAAGACCAACTCTTGGGCATTCTTGGCATCAACAAGGTTTGCTCCTTATCACTGAGTTTTACCTTAAGACCCGTGTTTCCTTGTGTCCATCATTGGCTTCTTGAAATCTTATCCATACTTAGTTTGTAAATAACTTGCTTTGTGTGGTGAAACAGGACAAAGTGGAGGAATGCTATCGGCTAATTTCAGAGGTGGCATCAGCCTATCATTTCCATTCATCCAACAAACGCAAGTTTAGATCATTTCCTGGCAGCCCAAAAGGTGTTATGGACTTGTCATTCAGCTCTGAGAGCTCATCCAATGATTCTTGGTCAGTAGCAGGAGCATCAGTTTCTTCATCACCGGAGCCTTTGACTAAGAAGAGTAGGGCTCAGGCTGGTCAAAAGGAGGACCAGCAACAACAGCATGCACAAGAACAAGAACTTGACCATGCAACCGCATCAGATAGCACCCCCGGATAGTCCGTCGATATTGGTCTCTCTCATTAAAATCTTTCTTTTGGACTAGCTAGTAAATAACTAGTCTACCACTACCTTCATGTTCAATAAATTTTTTCATGTTAAATTGCTCACCATCTCTGCAATTCAATCCCATTTGGGTACTGCTGTATGAACCTGTGGAAGTAGAGATGGTGGGCATTTTATCCGGAAGAATTAGTAAAATATGCTAGGAACTTGAACATATTCTCGAAGAGTACCCAAAAAAAGGACTTAGTTACCGAGTCAAGTCATTTATTTTCCTCTTTATTATCTACCTGTAAAATTCTTTCTTATTGAAATTGGGAAATGGAAAAATCTCACAGCATCGGCTGTGGCATTAATGAGTAGCGGATGTGTCTATGGAAATTCAGTTGAATAATAATAAAAGAGAGAATGTGTTAGCTAATAATTTTAGTTCAACCTGTCATTTTTCTTTGGTGTGGCTGGACATGGAATTTTTGGTACAAAGATTGATCGGGTCTGCTCCGTTTTTCAACAACAAACGAAAGGGACGGGTGTGAGCCAGAAAATATCAAAACGGGTCCGGGGAAGGGGAAATTTTGTTTGCATGTGGATGGACAAACATGTTGTCGGCCATTGGCCATTTTATTTAGGCTATGCTACTTGTTAAGATTAGATTTTCAATTGCTTTAGTTTCATGTTGTTTGACCTCGTTATAAGAGATTTTGGTTCACCTACGATTAAGCGACTCGCGTTTGAATTTGAAGCCAAACGAACGTGACTGAAGTGACTTGAGTGACTAGATTTCGGTCAGCGTTTTGGAAGGATTGGATGGTAAAATAGAATACTTGATTGTGTTTGGATTGCATTTTTTTATTTTTTTATTTTTGTAAAAAATTACTATAGCGATTTGATATATATAAGGTAAAAAGGTGATACGAAAATGTGTTCACGAAAAACGTAGCAATTTTCTTTGAAAAATTGCTGTCCAAACAGGAAACTTTTCACTTGTATAAATGAAAAAAAGAGAGAGAGAGAGTTTTAACAGTATCGTAGCATTTTTTGAAATATTATTTGGAGGAAGGTTCCCTCTTATTTTGTTGATGGAGTATTTTGCATATTTTTTTCTTTCTCATAAGAATGTTTACTTCTAGATCTATATATGTTTCTTCTCTTTTTTTTTTTAATTCAAAATGATATAAGCACTTTTCAAAAAATTTAAGATACTCTTTGAACTTCATCTAATGCAAAAGAAGAAAAGGAGTGTATGAGGTTTTTTTGAGAAGTGTTAATTATGATTTTTCCAAGACAATCTCAATGACTGTTTTTCGAGGGAACTGTTAAAGTCTCATTTAGGGCAACTATTATCTTTGTTGTTCGACTGTAATTTCTTTTTTTTTTTCATCCACATTTTGTACCATTTATTTTTTCTATTATTTGCATGATGTGGTTTGGAAAATAGTACTAGTACTAGTATATCCTTCATACGTCAAAAAAATCTCAAGGACTGGTTTTCAAGGCAGCACCTGTAAAATTTCATGTAGAGTAACTATTTCTTTGCTCACAGCTGTAAAAATCTCAGGTACTACGATATCCTTTATGCGTACTAAAGGTTCGTGTTGAAGCCTCGCAATAAAACATGATTATGGAACTTGATTTTGAGATTTTTTAAATCAAACAAAATTGAGGCTTTAGTACATACGCCCTTCGTTTCAATTTGATAGTCTTCTTTTTTCTTACACCGTTTAAGAAATTTAGTTAACATTATAGAAAAAGTAAATTTAATCTATTATTTTTTTAAAATATCCTCACATTAATATCATGAGTATCAATAATCACTACAATTTTACATTAATTATAACAACAATAATACTGGTATGTTGCACTATTTAAAATATATATTGAAACAATTATTAGTGAAAAAATTGAATATATTAAATAATATAGGCTATATTGGCTGATAACCAAGTTTATTAAATAAGGATATATTAGAGAAGTTAAAAATTAACTATACTATTCAATTGAAATGTGGATTATAATTAGGAACCGATGAAAAAAGAAATGGAAAGAGTAAGAGATATGGAGTAAACCTTTGACAAACAAGCTTTATTTTTTTTTTGAGCTATTATTTTGCAACCCATGGTTATTCATGTACTAGTAGGCAAACACACTTGAAATATATTGAACATGAGTAGCTGTACTTATATTGATTTTCTCTAGCATATCTAATGGGTATAGAATACTATACTTACACTCAATTCAGTGTGTTTGGATTGTAAATTATTTGAGATATTTTTACTGTAGCTCTTTTTGTGATGTGATGTATGTGAGATAAAAAGGTAATTGAGAAGATAAAAATGTATATTGAAAATTATAATGGTGATGTAAGCAAATATATTTGGGCAAATAATCTCCTCCATGATGCATTTTTTAAAATTTTTCAATGTAACTTATATTTTTCGTAAAAAATTGACACCTAAATCCCCCCCCCCCCAACACTAACCACTGATAATTGCACACCTGTACACAAACCACCCAACTATTATTTATAATAGATAGTAGTATCATAACGTGACTTCAAGCTTGTGAGGGTGACAGCGCCTCTGTTGGAAATCTAAACGTTGCGAATTTTCATACCCAAAAAATAAAAAATAAGGAAAAGAGTTGCAAATTTCAACCCCCATTTTGTAGACATTCGCTTAATTAATGTCGTAAACCTATTCTGCTACCTAAGACAATATTATAGACATTCTTAATATAGTAAAGTTTATTATTGACCCAGTCTTCTATCTACCACTAAAATGTCGGTCAGGCGTAGAAGTTGAGAACGTTTAAGGAACGAAGGCATTATCTTTTTCATAATCTCTCCGAAAAATTTGGCAAATCTCGCATAGATGACCTATTGACAAGGCAGCAGCTTAATCAACTTTTTTAATTTATTATAATCCCTACTAAACTAGCTTTACACTTGCTGTTAGCACACAAGACACTCACAAAAAGCCTTCCATGTGCTTTCTAAACCACTCCAAACTTTACTAAATCCCAATTAATTTGGGCTTCTTTTATCCTTTCTCAAGTCTTTTTATATTGATACTATACTATTCGCGCTCTTTAAGAAGAGTACCGTGAATGCCGGAGTGCGTGAGTGTGTGTGGCCCGTGGGTGTAAAACACCAAAAATACACAGGTCCATTCCTCTTGACTGGTTCATAGAAAATAGAGGGGCTCCTGCGGTCCTGCCTCTGCACAGCAGTATGAACTAAGCGTGCCAATTAATACCATAAAAACTTACCACAATTTTCTTGTCTTCTTTCAAAAACTTTGTGTATATCAATATATTAATGTTACCAAGATATTCTGCAAGCATAAATAACGACGGGAGACAGATAGGTAGAAGCGAGCCCCCACAGGTAGTCAAATTTGTTATGTAATCTGATAGTTATCAGCAGGTCCGGTGATCGATTCTCATCTGTGTATTCTTGAAACAAAAAAGATAAGTAGAAGCGTGCTAGACTAGATGTAAAGAGATATATGTTCTTCAGAAAAAATACAAAAAGTAATTAAAAAATGTAAAGAAGGGAAGTGATATTTGTACATTCAAATTAGCCCCTCGCACCTCATAAAGACATATTATTTAGTGAATTATTTGAAGTGCGAGAGGTTAAAATAGAAATGCAAATATCAATTGCCTGTAATCACAGTAACTTCTGTCCTAAGTCGACTCAAAGTGCATCATAGTGGTTTAAGGGATTACATATGTGTTTCCTTTTTTGTATTATCATTTCTCTTAAATGCCACATTTCCCATCTATTCCTTTCTGCCACTCACACTTCTTGACTTTGTGAGCATAATTTGAGCCAAAAAATATATATAAAACTCGTATATTAAAGAGAACTTTATTAGTATTTTGGTTTCTAAGGAACTTTGGGATCATAGAAATATATTAATGCTCATAATTTAGGACGATGTAAGTAGGAAAAAAAATTTTCATTTTTATTGTCCATCCCGTATGCCCCTTTATTTTCTAAGATCAAAAAAGAGAAAAGAAAATTCCACGTTGTGGGAGTTTGATAAAGTTGAGAACAAGAATGAAGGACTAGTAATGAGGGACAAAGAGGAAAGTGTTGGAATAGAATATTGTAGAGGTTCTAAAAGGAAGAAGAAGAATTAGCAAGTTAAAAGGACATAAAGGTTGCTTAAGGGAGGATTAAAAGACAATTTGGATGCGATTAGATTCAATAAGGATGCAACCAGAAAACAAAAAGGGGGAAAAGGTGAAGTGGGAGAATGTTGAAATTGGGGGACAATATCTTTAGATTTTGTTTGAGATGTCTTTATTGGCTCTTTTGTTCACTGCTTTTGGTAGTTAAGGGAATAGACTTTAGTGTATTTCAACTCACAAAGAAAAAGGAAAAAGATATATATTGCTGTGATCACAAGAGAGAGAATGGGGAGTTGGTTCCAGGTAACATTTCCTCTTCTTTTCTGGGACAGTGCCCGTCCTTTACTCCCCAGGTCCAATCCTCTCGGTCATCCTTTTGACCTTCTGAACATCAATGTCCTAAACACTCTACTGCTAAGTATGGCATTTTTTAAAAAATATTAAAAAACAACTATTTCCCTTAAGGAACATTTTATTGCAAAATTTAGAGCCTTCAATATCAATTTGAACAATCTCTATTCTCAAGAATTTGATAAAAAGAAATTAAGAGAAAGAAAATGGGAAAAAAAAAGACTAAGAGAATCAGAAAAATGTCGAAAAAGAAGATGTGGGAAGGGCTCTTTTTAAAGTGCAAACTGCAAAGAAGATTCTTAACGGCAAAGGTAAAGCTTGATGATAAACTTAATGGCTGAAATCTATAGATAAGACGTACATCACATAATTTTCAATAAAAGACAGGTTCAAGTCAAAAAAAGTAGGCGTATTTCTAGAATTTAAAAAGTTGAAATACGTCCAGAGGAGTAAGTTCTAAGCAAGTGAACATTTAACAGCTATATACGGGGTCTTATAGCGCCTATTTCACTTAATATTTGGGAATCAAAACCGTCGCATAGGTATCTATTTTTCTACTATTTGTTTTGAAGGTATCTCTTAGATATGTAAACTAAACAAAGATTAAAATACGAGTAGTAATATTGTGTTTGGATTGCATTTTCCGTCATTTTTCATGGAAAAATTACTGTAGCGATTTGATATATGTGAGGGAAAAAGGTGATAGGGAAATGTGATCACGGAAAACGACAATATTTTCGGACGGAAATAAGCAATCCAAACAAGGTGGTTGGGCACTTGTGTAGCTATTTTCTGTTGGTTCAGTTACTGCAGAAATAAAAATTACTGCAATATATTTTCTAATCATTTTTTTATCTTATATATATCAAATCAT